TGCACACCCTTGCCGTCTGCTCAAACGTCTCGCCGTGGTAGAGAGCACTAACGCGCGCCACGTGCACCGCGACCACCGGATGGATGGGGAGCGAGTGCTTCTGCTCGCGTCGCCGCGCGCCGCGCGTGCGAGTCGCCACCGTGTTGCTCATCGCGCTTGCAGAGGAAGCCTTCTTCGCAGGTGTCGCCATCGATCGTCGTCGTTCGGCAGGTGCACTTCGAACCAAGCGGGAGAGAGCCGCGGCGCTTTCTTTTAAAATCCCTGGGTGGTGGCGCCAAGGGTCGCGACGGCTAGCGCACCACACCCCTCTTCTTAAAAGTCCTGTGTGGTGGCGGCGTGCCGTCCTCCCATCCCTCCCTTGCCTTGGCTGTTTTCTTTCTGGCTGTCCTGTTTCTTTTTTCTGCTTTGGGAGTGGCGCGCACTGGAAACATAGGTAAAAGAAGCGTGCAGCCCCCGGCGCCGCAGCAACAGGGCGGCCGCGCGCGCGGCGCGCGTGCTTGTGCGGTCGGTCAGAGGCTGGCGTGCGTGGCTGCGGCGGCGATTTCTGGCGTCACTCCGCGCAACCTGTGTCACCCGAAATCCAGAGTGTCACTCCAGATCCATAAAATGTCGCATTTGCAGCGCATTTTGTTGCAAACAAGTGTGCAAATGATTGTTTTGACCAGTACTCACCTGCCCCTGCGGAGCATGCGCATGCTAGCCTCTCGTACATGCACTCTCTCTTCCGTCCGCACCCGCACGGTACCCATAACCCATTCCAGAGCCCACCATGCCGCTCGCACCCACCCACTATGCGTGTCATGCCAGCAGTGCTATGAGCTAATCACTTGGGGATGCCCATGAAGCCGAAGATCCTGGCCTGACTCTCCCGCTCACTCTGCTCGCGTGCGCGCGAAGCGTTCAACTCGGCCAGCATCATGCCCTGCGCAAAGGTTGGGGAGAACATGCTGATGCTCCCGCCCGGCTGTGCAAACACGGAGGGGGCCGTCTCTGCATCGCAAGTGCGATAGAGCGGCGCCGCCGGTGCCGGCTTGGCCCTCTTGCGGCGCTGCCCCTGCGGCGCATCCCCCGGCGGTGGCGGCCCGGGTGGTGGTGGCGGCGGCGGAGGCGGCGGCGGCGGCGGCGGCGGAGGCGGCGGCGGTGGCGGCGGCCGCGTCCACGTCGTCTGCTTGTCGACCGAGTTGTAATAGTAGGGG